GTGTGTGTGTGTGTGTTAGGTGGGCTCTGCCTGGCTCGTGCGCGCACACACGTGTGTGTAAGCATGTCTGCCAATGGACGTCGCGCGTGTGTATATAACCCACTCTCTACATGCTGCCATCACTGACAGAGCGTGTTTGCTTGCAAGGAGCCCGTGCGCGCGTACTCTCTCTCTATGTAAGTGGTCGGTGGTGACTGCATTTGTGTATGTGCTCGCTAGTGAGAAAGGCGGATGCTCGTGCCGCTCCCGCTGATGATGATGACAGCACCCGCTGTCACTACACACGCGCACACACACACACACACACACACACACACACACACACACACACACGCACGCACGCACGCAGGTTTGACGAGCGCTTTGACGAGCTGGAGGGCGAAGAATCTCTGTGACGGGCGCCGTGCATACGGGCGGTGTGGACACCGAATAGCGAAAGGGGGGGGGGAGGGAAGAAGGGTGATCATGTAGCACTTGTATCCATGGTATGTGTGTGTGTGTGTGTGTGTGTGTGTGTGCTCTGTGGTGGATGACGGTATTCTGTACGAACGTGATGGTGGCAACTGCAGGCAGCGTGTGCGTGTGATGGGAGCTGACACATGAGAGAGATGGTAGTCATGAGCGCTGTAATTGCAGCAGACGGCTGAGGAGACAGAGAGGGAGCGAAGAGTGGGGGTTCTTGCATTAAATGAATCGACGACACACAGCAACAGAAGGACGCAGATGACAATGGCGGATTCTGTGTGTATGTGTGTGTATGTGTGTGTGTGTGTGTGTGTGTGTGTGTGTGTGTGTGTGTACAGATACGACACGACAATGGGTGTGTGTGTGTGTGTGTGTGTGTGTGTGTGTGTGTGTGTGTGTGTGTGTGTGTGTGTGTGTGTGCGTGAATGCGAACGGAACTTGCTCGCTCACTCGCTCACTCCTCACTCATTATGTGCCGTGCACATTCCTCTTCCCCCACCCCCAACCACAGGTGCGCTGATCTGAGGACGTGCACGGAGACGCAATACGAGGATGCAGCGCCAACGGCGACAACAGACAGAGGTGATGAGCGCGCGTGCGAATGGCTGTGGAATGTGATTTGCGTTGTGTCCTGTGTCTTGTTGAGTTGCGCTGATCGCTGCTGGAACTCTTCTGATTGCACACATGGCGGTGCTCACACCCATATCTATCGCCTCTCCTGCTTGCGATCCCTTGTCTGCCACTGCCACTGCCACTGATGGATTGCCTTGCGTTGTCTCACCTACTCCCTTCCCCCGTGCTTGTCTACAGTGTGCCGCGCGCGCTCTGAGCTGCACACCTTCCGCGTGTGGATGAATGCGAGCTACGTGGAGTATGCGCTTGCCTCGCCATCCCACGAACTGGAATCGGCGCTCGAGTCCACCTTGCGGGAGCGCGTGGCGGCTGTGCGCGGATACGTCGAAGTTGTGCTGGAAGAAAATTCCGTTCTCGCTGAAGACCGGACAGTTGCCAATGTGTCCGCGCGCTCCGTGGCCGCACGTGCCCAGGTGGAGGCGCTGGGCGAGTTTGAGGTTGAGGTTCAAGGCACAGCCATCCTCTCTGTGCTGTACACGGAGGACGAGGCCATTGCGGCGGCAAAGCAGGCGTACCTGGCAGCCCTCGGGGATGGGGAGGCGGCTGCCCGCGCTGCTGCGGAACAGGCATACGAGAACGCACACGGCATGCGCAACTTCACCACCGCCTGGCGTCGTTTGTGAGTGAATGAGCGATGCTCTGTGTGTGTGTGTGTGTGT